TTTTCAGAATTAAGACTTTTTTTTCTCAGAATTCTGACTTTTTTTCTCAGAATTTTGGATCTTAATGTAGATGGGCACCATGAAGGCAGAGATGTGGAGCACTCAGCTTCACTGACAAAGATGTGAGTTGTTTGAGAGAGCCAGTGACACATTGGTGGAAAATGACAGAATTAGGCAACTTTTTACGTGCCCGTGGGGTCCACCTCATTAATGGAGGAGCAGAAGAGAGCTAGTCTCTAAAACAGACATGGCTATGGCTTGATGCTAACATGTTTGTTGTTAAACATACTTTTGTTATATTACATTTGTGTTGTGTTTTCCAAATAGTGTAGAAAATTAATGGTGGGTTTATAATGTTTACCTTTTATGAGCAGGACAGGAAGCAGAGAAATGTAGCATTACCTCCAACTAGTTAAACTCATAATTATGAAGTTATTCAACAAATTCCTCAAGTAAAAAAGTGCAACTTTTATTTTTTATTTATTTTTTTTTTTTTACCAGATTTGTTGATTAATTTCAGAATTATGTATTCCTTCCAGATTTCCAAATCTGAAGAATTTTTTTAAACCAATATCTACATTATTTAACATTTAGTTTGTTTTAGCAGTACTTCCTGTTATATTTCTTTATACGTATATTTTACATTTTCTTGCACAGCAAGCTCAGCAGATTTGAAATTGTGTGCTTGTGTAAACACTAGTCAATCTTTACTCTAAACATATATTCTGGTTATTTTTTAGGGAGACCCCGCTTCCTACGCCGCTGGGTGTTGCGATACAATATGATACTTGGGTCACAATACGATATTATCACAGTATTCTGATATCACTATATATTGCCATAAAACTCAATTTCCCCTCACTGTTTTAGATAAAAATGTTTTGTATTTTTAATATCGATATTAGGAACTGAAAGGTCGATATTATATCGAGCAGCCAAAAATCACGATATAGCCTATATAATTGCCAAATCAAATTTTTCCCCATACCTGCTAACTGTGCAGTAGGGCTGGGCGATATAGAAAAAAAGCTTATCGATAAAAAAAAATACATATTGATCGATATCGATAATTATTGAAAAGATCTGAAACCATATTTTATGTGCAGCTCTGCCTGGACATTTTATATTGCTAAATGATTTAATTTTAATAAAGAACACAAACACAGACTTCCAATTAAATATTTATTTAACCAACTTTTTTAGCCATAACAGAATTGTTTTAAAGAAAAATAACTTAAGAGACCTGAGTTATGTTATTAAATATTGACAGCGCTGTGTTTGAGAAAAACTTTCGGTCCGGAACTTCGTATCGTGGATCCAGAGTGGCGAGCCGCTGTTTGAACCCAGGTTTTTCAACAGCAGACGACGGCAGCGTATTCTTTGCTATGAAGCATGTTACAGCATGAGTAATGTCCTTGTGCCGCTTGGACGCTTTGTTGTATTTATCACAAACCAGGAAGCCCAATTTAGCCTGCGACGCCTGCTTTGATTTGGCAGAAATTCCCGAATATTCCTCGGGGGATTATGCAGAGCCGCGCCGGGGTCTACACAGCTCGTACTGCGGCGGGTGTGAGCGGCTGAGGTGATAAAACAAGTTGGTTGTGTTATTAGACGTCGTTTTCACTGGTTCCCTACAAATTTTACAGATGATTGTGGTTTGTTTTGTGTCCGACTTGCCATAACCGAAATACTGCCAAATTACAAAAACCCTTCTTTGGAACAATTTCCTCCACCTCTCCTTGCTGCGACATCTTCATGTGCTCTGTGTTGTGGTTTGAGAGGGCGGCGCTTTGTAACGGCGGGCCTGGGTCCGCGATTGCGATTGGTTGGAAGGAAGTAGTGACTAGCATAAACCTACATGATAGGCTACAATGAGAACGAAGGAAAACTGCGTTTTTTTATCAAACTTTTATCGACCCTCTTTTTTTCTATTGCGCCACACGTCTATCGATCGATATATGTCGTTATTGAATTATCGCCCAGCCCTACTATGCAGATTAGCTGCAAAAAGAGCCCTTTTGTATCAACTTTTAGAAGTAATGATACTCGCTATGCCTCAAATCACTAATAGCTGATTAGAGGAAGTAACCGTTTGTTTAGTGGTGCGAATAAATTTTAAATATAAAACTAATAAATCTTTTTTTCTGTTATGCAGGTTGTTGGATTGTTTTGTCACAATCTAGTGTTCCCGTTTCCTCAATATGTCTGCCTTTAGGCTTGTTATTGTGCATGTGTTTAAAATCTGCAGGTCAGTCTGTGTTCCAAAACCAAAAGCATAACAACAGGATGGAAATGCCAAAGATATGAAAGACTAAAAGATGAAAGGAACAAGGAGAGGAGTGATCCTCACATTTAAACCAAATAAAATAGGTGCGGGTGGTAAAGCTTTAAAGCAGGATTTAAGGCATAGCATATTTTTCAACTTGATTTTGCACAAACTGATGTACAATACTGGCTAAAACAAAATGAAATACTTCCACAGAAAAAATATGGTAATATTGGCTGAAACTATGGCAATGAAATATAATTCTGTACTTTCCATGTCAATTGCATGGAACAATAACAGTTTGCTTAAAGTGAAACCTAACCACCACTAGTCCGAAAAACAAAGAGGATCAGAAATAATTCTCACTCACAATCTGGACAGGCTTGAGTCTAACTGGCTAAAGAGGTGGGTGATGGGAGCGATAGAGAAATCTGTTACAGTAGGAGATTTTTGTTGTTACTTCATTGAAAACTGGGTCATGCCAGTGAAGAGCAGGAGGAGGAGGTGGAAGTGACAGAGAAAGGCTGGACTAGACCTTATACTGTAAGCTCAGATGGTAAACTCACAACCATTAATCTGATTAAAGTAAACGAATGGTTTCCCTGTAGATGGGCGGAGCCATTTTCTGCGTCGCATGGAGCATGTGAAGGACCACAAGACCCCCTCACTTTAAGCTGCACCACATTCCAGCAAAGGTTCAGTATTTACATACAGCATAGCCAGAAGGCTTAAAATATCTAGAAATGCAAACAGCAGATGGAGATTGTTACTGCCAGCCAGCTGTTGAGCTTGTGAAATGAGAGGCTTAATGTTCAAAGAATGAAGAAAAAAGAAATCATGGTTAGACTGAAACCTAATGTCAGGCTTTGCCTCAGTCTGTCATGTCTAAGGTTAACTAAAGAAAGATTAAAGTCAAACACTCAAAAGAAGGTCATCACTCTTTCCTCCCAAAATAAATCAGGCTAGAATAGCTCTTTACCATCTAGTCTAGATAAATTTAAAGTCCTAGTTTTTTTGACAAAGTTGATTCATTAAGAGGACTTGGGCTCCCTCACATGCTGCTGCTCATAGCAAGCCACTCACTGAAAGAAAGTCTTACAGTGGAAAAAAACAACAAATTTTGTAGTTTAGAGATATTTGAGGTTGTAAAACATAAATGATGCCCACTAAAGTAGTTCAAACCATCATGCATATTGAGGAAACACTGATCACTCAAACTGATATAGCTTCAAAATCATTCCTGGTCTCCTACTTGAGCAGATAGCCTGACTAAGTGTTTAAAATAATCAAAGGAAATTATATATATATATATATATATATATATATATATATATATATATATATATATATATATATATATATATATATATATATATATATATATATATATATATATAAATAAATAAAGAAATGCAGGAGCTCATCATTCTAGTTCTTAGGTCCACCTATTTACAAACAGTATAAGACTATTTTTTAAAAAGTAAAATCAGAGCTAAACCTATCCTTTTGCAGTTCAGCTAGGATAACCACATTTTGTTGTCATTTAGTAATTATAAGAATTCGTTTTGTCATCAACAGGTCAAATATTATCTCAGATTTTAAGAAAATCTTTAACATGCAAGATTGTAACATTTATTGCAGAACTTAAGTGAAGCATTTTGGGTTTGATTCAAAAAGCGTCTCTCCATAGTCCTTTGGCGATTTGGTCCAATCTTCCTGATATTCTGCTACTACAAAATGATTAATAAAAGTATGCGTGATTCATTGTGGCATATCGGTTAACATATATATGCCAATCAGCTGGGATAATAGTTGCTTCTCATTTATGATAAAAGGAATAAGAGCACATCTTCCACTTTTCTTTTTAACTTACGCTATTAAAATATGGTATTTTGACTCCAAGTTACAGCACCAAAAGAATCTCATAGCATCCTGTAGAGAGCAACTAGAGGTTTAAATTAATTCAATTCAATTTGTGATTATAAACTCTCAATTAATGCAATTGTATTTATCATAAACATGGACATCCCACTTGGGTACTGGGCAGATCACCTTCAATCCAAGGGGAAAATAACTTAAAAAACTTAGATTTTGAACAACACTAAGCTGATACACACCTTACTGCCAGGAACATCACAGTTTGTTAAACAGTGTCTTGGCAATTCAACAGGTGAGTCACATCAGAGGTAAAATAGCTTTAAACCGAAAATACCCGTCTATTACCACCAGAACAGGTTTTAATTATGTTGCTGCAGAGGTTAGTCAGAGAACAGGCAGGATAGTTGTTTGAAACCTATCAGTGCAGCTGTCAGCCTGATACCAGAGGTAAATTCTTCTGTGCATATTTTAAAGAGCTGCCAACAGAATACAGTACATCACAAAGACAATAACCCTAACTACAGTTCCTATGAAAAGCAACCAGATGCCTCCAGTTGATGTTTGTTTCTCTTCCTCTAATTAAATGATAAAATACAAAATGAAAACAAATGTTAAACAAGTGTCATACTAAATAAAAAAGAAGCATTAACAAATCACGTGCACGCATCAGCTTTTACCGATACAAGGGGAAAATAAATGCTAATATATGGAGAAATATCAGCTGGATGATGCATAAGTCAATTACTAATCACAGTCCCAAGAAAGTAAGTAAGAATGCGCCTGTAAAATTTAAGAAGAGCATGAATACAAAAGTTAATCCAATCTTGCCAAGTGGTCAAAGGGAAGAAGGACTTACCTTTTTAGAGAAAAGAAGACAGATGGACAGATGTCCAGACAGAAGACAGCTTTGTTTCTTCAGCGGCCTGAGAGGCAGAACAGTCCAGACAGAGAGAGGAGGAGTCCTCAACAGCAGAAGGAAAACACGGAGAGGTTTGTTAGACAAAAGCAGCAGCAAGCAGTTAGATTAGACCACCCTGGCTCCCTCACAACGAGCTGCTGCTTTATGGGTCGGTGCTGGCTGGAGGGTGGCACATTCTGGGAGTCCCAGTCAAATACCACACATGGAGCATGGAGTGAAAGCTTAATACGCAGCCAGACAGCAGCAGAGCTTTTGCAGTAGTGGTCAGAGCGGTTAGCTCACACCTCTGTTACAGCCCATCACAGAAAAACCTGAAGAGGGAGCAAGGAAGGTCTTAAAAAGAAAGTATCAGCTGTTTTTATTACAGCATTCACCATCAATACACTTAAGAAAAAACAAACACTCCCGCAGATTCTTGATGGAAATATTAATCAATAGATTATATATTGTTAGATTTAAAACTCTTAGACTAGGCCTTAAACTGTCCTTTTTGATGAAGACCCACCTCTGTAGTTCTGCTGCTACAGAATGGGCAGCAGGAGGACATGACAAATAGCTTTCCTCAGTCTGATTTTCACCTAACTATTCTTACCATGTATCTTAACATTTTCTGTTATTGCTTTCATTAACTGTTCTCTTCCTTTTTTCCATCTCAAAACTATCTCTGGCTCAGCACTTCTTTATTTAGGTATCTCTTCCACAAAATAAGCCATCAATGGAGCTCTGCTATTAAAACTGTGGACAGTTTGTTCATCCTCTCATCGATAGTTTTCCAGGTGAGATTCCTTTGTCTACCGGAATCATTTTATAATAGAGAATGAAATGTATCTTTATAATTAAACTAGAATTAGAGTGAATTAGGTCAATAGTTAAAAGCAGTACTCGACTTGAGGGGGGATGAGAGGGGATGGCATTCCCCTTCTTATAAAACTATCTTAAAAAACATCCCCCTTCTTAAATGACCATTACCCCATATCATACCCTGTAACATTTTATCACTCAATGTGTAAACTTCTATTACATATTAACAGTAATGGCAATAATCAGGCTGTGCGCTTACGAGTAGCCTGACCAAATTACAGCGGCCCAGAGGGCACATGCCATTTCATTTTCGACCTCAGTGGTGCAACCAGCAGAGCAGGTTACTGCAGGTTAAGGTGTTCTGAACAGCATCACGGCCAAGCGGCAAGGAAAACACGATACGAGGGACTTCATTTTTAAGAAGGCAAAAACTAACACTTCATGGAAGTCAAGAGTCAGAACATTTATAAGCTTTGTAGAAGTCCTAATCTCTGGACACAGCGATACCATGCAAAACTAGGTAAACTAGTTTGAAGCATAAACATTTTTCTGTCTTTAAAGTTGTCATGATACACGAGAATTAGTCTAGAGTATATAGGCATTGCTGAACATTCAAAATGAGCATTTTGGTTGTGAATCAAACAAAAAATTAATCTGTAAACCACTGCTGTTTTGCTAGGTGAAAGCCAGAATCTAGACGATGCTGGTGAGACAAGTGGAGCTGCGGCCAAGAGCATTGGAGGAAACCCGGAGGAGAGAATCGAAGGTTTGAAAAATGCATCTTAATTAAGCAATTTACTTTAATTTGCCAATAGAAGCCATACTGATTTCTGATAAACAATATTTTATAAAATAAATACGCTAACTAAATATTTGAAAGGCGAGTAAAATTATGAGATTTTATATAGGCTTACTTCATATTCAGGCTAATTTGAATGTATTTGAATTTGTAAGCGGATTTTTTTCAGATTTTGAAAATTATTTCAGCTGTTTCAATTTAATCAATTGAATAAAAAAAAATACTGCATTCACGTTCAATTGCAATGTTTTGTGAGGTTTTGTTCCAAACCTTAATAGATTAACTTCCAAAGTAAATTCAAAGAAGTGTCCTATCATGACATGTAGCAACCATACCATGCATAGTGCTTTAGGTTAACGAACTATATTAATTAGGCTATGTATGCTTACAACAAAAAACAAAAAAACACCATCCCCCTTCTTTCTTTCTTTCTCTCTTTTTTTTTTTAAACTCGACCACTGGTTATAAGATTATACATAAGTAGATTTTAACAAGATCTATTTGTCTTGCAAAGTTCATCTTAATAAATGGATTAAAAACAGAACAGGGAAAATACAACCAAAAAAACAACAATTAAAAAGGAATTTCATTTCCATGGGAAAAACATAAAATGTTCCTTCCCTTAATAACATAAAAATACACACATATTATTAGTTTTTTTTAAGGGACAACTCTTTTTATAAGGTTTAACTTTTATCAGTGAGGCTCAGCTGAGGTCGGTTGCTCTGCCTGCAGCTGTTGATCCAACAGTGAATCCAATGAAAATCCTCTAAATGAAGAAAAACAGTGGCGTCCTTAAAAAAAAAAAAAAAAAAAAAAAAAAAAAAAAAAACATCCCTCAGTTTTGTTTTTCCACATGCGGGTCGTCCTATAGCTCATCTCCAACCAGAACCACATCAATGCAACCACTGTAGGCCAGTACCGCCTCACTGTCAGCTGCCCACCGGCTGCAGAACTGCCAGCTCAGATAAACTCAACATGCTGCTGACCAGAGTCGACGCTGCCAGAAATCAAAATAGATCCCGCCTTTCCTTCTGACTGCTAAAAAGGGTCTAAAACCTACACTGTCAGTCAGGACACATCTTTGCTTTATAGTTGGAGGTTCTCATGCATCTATTTTCATATATAAAGGGATCTCAACTTTTAATGGAGTGCATAGAGTTAGACGTACACAACCATATTCATGTATATATTATTTTTATTTCCCCCCCCCATGTTTCAAGCGACATCTCAATTTTATAACCAATAGAACAAAAAGATAAAAACAAAAAATAAACTTTTTATAGGATTACATAGAATGCAATTTGCCACATGAAGATAAACATCTACTGTTCTTACAGTGAATATTTATATAGCTATATATAAAGATTAGCTCATTTCCATGATGTTTTCGACTAAAGCAGATTGATTCCTTTTAATTCACTCCCATCAACACACATGCTTATAAGGTTTTTTTCCCCCAGTGATATCAGCTTGAGATGGACACCAGAAGCCCTCGTGACCCCTGCAGGGATAAAGCATGACAGAAATGGATATCATTTAGCTTTGATATCAACCTACATGTGTTATGGCTACAAGCCCCAAGTTTCAAATAACCTCCTATTAGAAGTTAACTAGTCTTCATGCAAGTTTGGTAAAACTGAATTAACTTTGTTTACAGCTTTGTTTACTCAGGCATTAACCAGATAAAAACATGATTTCACTGGAAAACTGTTTTCCTAAAAGTCAAAGTATTTCTAAACACTGAGGACCCTAAACTATGCCTTTCACCAAGTCCAGTTTAAATTCAAATTTAGCTTGATTTTTTGCATCATTGACCATAAAAAGTAATGAAACTGTTGGACTCCACAAAGCAAGAGAAAGAACAATAATGGCAACCATTAATAAATAAATCCCACTGTGAGATTTTAAAAAATAAAACAAAAATCTGCAGCTTAAAAAAGCCTTCCAGTCATTTTGAGACTATTCTTTTTATCTTTAGACAGTCAGCTGAGACTCTTTGCTCCTATTAACAACCCTAAAATAAAACTTGAAATCACACAGTTGGAGATTCTTGTCTTTCACTTGGTAACATACTTGTAGGTCTCAATTGCTAACTGAAAAACAAGGAATAGAGAGCTCTAATAAAGAAAGTTCTATCGATATCTATTGGCAAACAAGGGTTTAGGTGTCTGTTTGGTAACTTGTGCTAAGCCAAGCTATTGTGTCTAAAAATATACAAGATATGCAGAACTCTGTGTCCTTCAGTCAGCAGAGCATTGCATCAATCACAACTTGCAGCGTTGGTGCATCGACAGACACATCACATTATTGATTTTTTTCTTGTCACACTAAAGCTGATTTGGCAACTTCTGCCGCTGCTGCAGGGACGACCATCGATCCCTGAACTGTAATGTAAAAAACAAAAATTAGGTGCTATGATAAGAGATTACTAAAAATGTTCTTCTACCAGCAGCAATTAAAGTGAATATGTTCTCAAAAAATGATATATCTTAATGAATTTTTACAGGAAAAAGAAAAAAAAATCTTTCCATCTGTTCAAAGCTGAAAAAGGCTGTGTAGCGTTATCACAGGGTGGTTGTTAAATGTAAGGGTAAAGGGAACTAAACTTTTTTGGGAAATAAACAAACCTGAGAGATACCAGACAAAAAAAAAATGGTTTCCAGGAAATTTCTTTTATAGCCAACCCCAAGATTTGTTTCGCATAACTTGCATATTTCTTATTATTTTGCATCATTTCAAAAACTACATCGTTTCAAAAACTACAGACTGTCAACGGTATTAATATGGCAGTGTTTATATACACTTCTCAAAAACACATCCTGGAATGAATGAATGAAATGTTTTCTGTATAAAGTAAAATGTGCTGACAACAAAATCAAATAAATCATCAACGGAAATCAAATTTATGGATCAGGTCTGGATTTGGAGTCACAACACTAGGTTGGTCCAACTTGTATGTAATGCCCTTAAAACAGGTAAAAATTAGGCTCAGTATGGTGTGTGGCCTCCATGTGCCTGAATGATCTCCCTACAATGCCTAGGCATGCTGGATTCAGGTCTGGGAAATGGTTGGGCCAGTCCATAGCTTCTTGCAGAAACTGCTCCACCCACATGAGGTCGAGCATTGTCCTGCATTAGGAGGAACCCAGGGCCACCCACAACAGCATATGTTCTCACAAGGGGTCTGAGAACCTAATCTTGGTACTTAATGGCCATCATGCTACCTCTGCCAAGCACATGGAGGGCTGTGCGGCCCTCTAAAGAAATGCCACCCCAGACCATTACTGACCCACTGCCAAACTAGTCACACTCAAGGATGTTGCAGGCAGCATATTGCTCTCCACTGTCTCCAGCCTCAGTCACATGTGCTCAGTGTGAACCTTCTTTCATCTGTGAAGAGCACAGGGTGCCAGGATGAATTTGCCAATCCTTGTGTTCTCTGGCAGATGCCAAGCATTCTTCATGGAGAACATACTGAAAATACAGAAACTGTACTCCAAATAGAAATATTTATATAAATGAGTGTTTTTTTTACTATTGGAGTTTGGGTGCATCCCCCCCAATCCGTCTAATTTAAAAACTTAGGTATTAAAAAGTATTAAGCCCACTATATATTTTTGTGTAATATCTTATATTACCAATACTTCATAGAGAAACCTACGAAATATAAATATTGTACATTTTGAGTTGGGTATTTTTTGATAAAAGAAAAAAAAAATCAGGTTTAAAACTTAGTTGATGATGCACAAATGTATTCAACCTAAAGTATAACGTGATTAAAACATGTCAATTACAGGGGAGGAAAAGAAAACAATTAAAAAAAAAACACTAACTTTAAAAGAGCTGTGATCATTAGTCTTATGTAATGTCACCTTGTATGGAGGACCAATTCTGCCATAATTAAAACTAAATACAGAAATAAATAAATGCTCCAAAAATAAATAAGCATAAAATTAATCGTCCCCCAAAAATACAAAAAACAAATAAATGTAAGTAGAACTTAAATTATACAGTAAGACGTAAATATATACATATATCTCTTTTAATTATCCTCCAGGATTGGTCCTCCATAGCCTCGGATGTGTTTGCATTGAAGGTTTTGGTAAATATAGATGCATTCATTGTTTTACCACAAAAAAGAAAAGAAAAACAAACAAATAAGAAGGTGACCCTGAGTAAGGAATGTGATGCATAGAGGAGGTGAGTGTTTTTATAGACAGCAGCAGCAGCAGCCAGGTGAACAGCCTTACCTGTTTAACTCCGCGCAGACGGAACAAACCAAACTCTCAATCCTTAATATCCTTTTTGTTCGGCTGAATAAAAACGATATTCCTCCTAAAGCAAACAGCTGGTCTTTCTACTCACACCTCCACCAACTGCGACATCCTGCAGGTTTTATTCAGAGGAAAGTGGGCCCCTTCAGCCATTTATACTGAACTCAAAGCCTCTGACAGCGAAGAACTATCTCGTCCTATTCGCTCCGGTCGAAAAAAAAAGCCAAAAATGTTTTCCTGCGCAGGAGGCGGAGATAAACGAGCTGAACAAGTTTGTTTTTCTGCACAGGGGAATTAAATGTTTCACCCTTTAGTGATAAGCGTCTTCTCCCTCCGCAGCCTGCTGGCGTGTCTGTAATCAGATGCTGCTCACCACAATATCCATTCATCCTATTACAGGGCTTAACCCCTCACTGTCGGCTGCAGGGCTTAGTGTTGCATTCAACGACCGTAGGAAAAAAAATCGCTTCTCCAAACTTAAATTTTTTTCATAAACTTTTAATCGGGGGTAAAATAATCTGACGTCTACTCGAATCAGATATTTAGTTATATATCCCATGTTCTATTTAGCATTGTATTATGGAAGAGGATTAGGGCCACTGAAAAAATAAAAAAGTTAACTGATTTTTTATTTCAACTTAATATAGGAAAAAAAAATCAGAATTCTGAGATAACGTCAGATTTCTGAGAAAAAGTCAGAATTCTGAGAAAAGAAGAAGTCAGAATTCTGAGATTAACGTTAGAATTCTGTTTTTTCCCATATTAAACTAAAAATAAAATGTACTTTTTTTACTTTTTCAGTTGCCCTAATCCTCTTCTGTACCATATTGATAAATACACTTTGTAAAAATATTATTTCAGTGCACCTTCAAAGACAAATTATACAGACACGAATTGAAATTTGGTAGAAAGATGTATTTGGAGAAGCCTACACGTCAGATCTTAATACAATTTATTTATCTCCAAGTCATCTCTAAATAACAAACTCATAGCACATACCACTTAAGTGTCATAAATAGAGCCATATCAAGGATTGAGAGAAATCAGTATTTGGAGAAAATAGGGGGGGGGGGGGGGGGGGGGGGGGGGGGGGGGGGGAGCATCCCAGCTCAAGTGTCTTGCTGCTGTAGAACTTATTTCTGTAAATAAGTTCTACATTTGCAAAATCCAACATTCAGTCTCATTTCTTTCAGTGATCTTTTTCTTCATAGTTAAATTTATATAAAATTTCTCTTAAACCCCTAATATCTCAGATACATTGCACAGAGCCTGCCTAAAGCTGCTTAGGGCTCCATAAGATGACAATCATTCCCCTAAAGTGTCCTAGGAGCCTACTTGGCTGGAAGTGGGACCCCCGATAAAACTCTGCTTAAGGCCTTTTATTGCTCTGGGTTAAAGCCAGAATCTGAGTAGACATGCAGATACACACTAGGTTTGCATTTTGATATTTAAATTGTTATGAACCATCTCATAATGGGGATAAAATACAATAAATTAGAGCTAAAACAAATAATCCGATTAATCACAATTAATAAATTTTAGGAATAATCGTCAAATAATTTAGTAATTTATTAATTGTTAACTGGAGGATAGAAACTAAACATTTAGAGCATTTTGAGCAGGGATTAATCCAAATTGTAAAAAGATATGTCAATATTTTGCATTTCTTATAGAAAACTATTTTGTTCTTCGATACGCTCCATCCAGAACTCCTCAGATGGAAAAGTTTTGGTTTTACCTGATTAATTTCTGTAAAAAAAATATTCTTGGATTTTTAATAGAGTCATACAAAAAAATTAACAAATAAATCATTTAGCAAAATAATAGTTAGTTGCAGCCCTACTTAAATCTGTCTTTATTAACAGGAAAAAACCAAAGTAACATAATTATCATGAAGCCCATTATTGTTTGTAAACAGTTTAACAAAAAAAATCTCATACAAGTTAACAAAGGACAATGCAACCTGCCAGAAATGTGAAATAATATTAAGAGCTGAACTCATCTTTAAGCCATAAATGTAGAGCAACTTGAAGAAAGAGAGAAGAATTTTTTCTATTATGAAATTGACTTTGGTTTGAACTGGGTAGGACAAGTTTTTAAACAAACAGCGCCATCCACAGGACAGAGGCAGTACTAGACAGAAGTCCACTGCAGACTTCATATGAAGACATTTTAATCTTACATTTTATAGAAATAATTTACACCTTTCAGATTCATAAAAGTCATCCAAATACAGTAATTTTATACTACCCACACACATTAAGCAACATGATGGACATTTAAAGGTCATATAAATCTATTTAATTTAAAGCCAACATAAATAAAGAAAAAAAACATGTCCGCCAATCACAGATGAGTTTTCCTAACAGTCTCATTACAGCAGTTTTAAAGTGATCATCCAGTTTGCAGTTGGTGGATCAAACCCTAAAAAGGCCTCTATGTCATCTCCTCGCCAGTCAGTGATCTGAAGGTGTTCAGCTCTTTAATGCTTGTTGAAATTCTGAATACAAAAACATTAAGAAAAGAAGAAAGGAATCTGTTTATTTTGGTTTAAGAAACCACAGAATGCTTAATAAATGCAGTGAGAGTTATTTTATCACGAAGGCTACATATTCCCACCTTCCAAAGGCGTTGAGGAGGGAGATGACCTCCTGCCGGCTGAGCTGGAAACTGGGTCGTTGCCCTCTGGAATGGGGCAGCGCTTCAATCTGTCGCTCTGAAAACAGAATCTTCAGCGCTGTTCCTAATCCCTGAGTCTGGCCAGGACAAGGGAAAAAAATCAATTTAAAAAGCACATAATACTAAATCGCTTAACGTGCTAAAAGGGGATTTTTCCCCCCCCCACACATAAGAAAAAACAAATTATAATTTAAAAACAGTTTGTAAATAAAATCACTGTGCACTGATGGTAAAAAAGCAAAAATTCAACCAACTTGTATTGAAGGTGATAAAATGCCACATTACACAAAAATAAAGCTTAAGAAAAAAAGAAAAGAAGGAAATCCTTGAGCACAACTGTAGCTTTAAGGAAATAAAAGGGGCTACATGGGTGGATGGGATTTAAAAAAAAACTGAGTAAAACACACTCTGGTTTCTCATAAATTTAACAAGTTGTAGTTAAATCTAATTCCTATTGCTTCGACAAAGATTTCTTAATATTTGAATTAATTTTCATCTAGCCACAGGGAACACCGCTCTCTTACTACAAGATTTATTTAGGCAATGCTATTGACTCTCTATTGATAAAGAGATCAGTACAGTCATATAAATCATAAAGGTAACCTGTTCGAAAAACTGATACAAACAGAAAATATTATCCCAGTAATTAATCCTAAGTGAAGCGATAAGGAAACCATCTTAATAAAACAACCTCTTATCCAATTTCCTGTTGGTGTACCGTCCAAGAACAAATTAATTGTGTGCAAGTCCCTGACATGTGACCCGTCTACTGTGTGCACACCCAGAGTGGGAGGGGAAAAAATAGCAAAAGTATTCATTTACATTGCACATTTTCTTTCCTGAAGGCTGTTTGCGTTATGTTTCTAAAGTTAAAACAAACATCTATTGAAGGGCAAACAAGTTAAAGTTAACAGTAATTCACTTTTGAACATTTGTACAGTTGAAGCCTTCCAACCAGTTATAAGACACACCCAAACACTCATCAAGCCATTAAAAACAAAACACAGTGGCTGTATCATTATCCAATGTGCCGTACATCTATGTTTTCACAAACACAAAAATTATCTGTATAAAGGATAAATGTAAAAGTGACTCATTGTTACAGTGACAATGTTAGAAATGAATGGAATGATGTTATTAGTATTTATAATTATTAACTTAAGGATCGGATCAGTTAAAGCAGGATAAAGCACACCTGTAGTTTTCCCCACAGCCGACATTTAAAGCAGCCAACACAGTCCATGATTTTTGAGATGTTGCGAAAGGCCAGTCTTACATCCTCCTGATGAAAAAGGAGAAAAAAAACGTTACATAATTACATTTCCACCAACATTTAAAGAAGAAATAATAAACCTAGTCAGCACTAACTGAAGCCAATTGCATTACGTTTGCTGTATTTTATCCACACATGACAATAAGCTGTAAAGGAGCGCCCTCTACTGGGCAAAAGAAGAAAACAAGACCGTGTCATTTTTTTAGCTGTTCAGGTTTGCAGGCTTCCAACAGCTTTCCCCAATTAAAGTTCAGATATTTTCCAAGTATAAAAAAAAAATTTAAATAAGTTAAAGAAATAAAGATTTTATATAGAAGTGATTTTTTTGTAATCTTTATAACAACCTTCAGTTTAGCAGCTTCTTTTTCATCTCCAGCAAACAGGGAAGTTTCATCAAAGTGCAGCGGAAAAGATCTGGAAGACAGCAGAGATGAGCAAAATCAGTTTCAGACAGCAACATAATTACTGCAAAAAGGACGCATAGAAAACATGTTCTACCCAGTCAACAGAGAGGACTAAAACCCTCAGATGGCTTGACTCTCAAATCTTAAAGGTATAGTGGAGGATGTTTGTTTTTTTTCCAAGTGGATCATCAAAATAAGTGGTCCTCCTAATTGTCAATCATTCTGGTGATATGTTTACGTAAGGCTGTCCTTACCTGCCCATTTTCACTTACTGGTGGTGAGTCTGACGTAGTGGAAAATTGAAAATCTTCTTTTGGAAAGTAAGCTTGTATAAGTGATGCAAAAAGTAACTTTCAAACAGAGCTTGCACAGGGAGAGATACAGTAGGCTCCTGCATGCTCTCACACGCATTCAATAGGCATTCCTTCTCAGGAGCGCTGTGCATGAGTATTTTTATTTTTTTATTTTTTTAAATGGAGAGTACTGGTCTTTTCAAAAATCCTCACTAAATGTAGCACTTAGAAGTAGCAGGTTTGTTTGGACTAACTGGTTTTTCCCTCATTTTTAGCACAGATATGAACAAGCAGGTGTAGGAAATGGTGTGATCTCTGCAAGAACCTGTTGAGATCACAGCACAAATTTTCCAACGCCGTCTCAGTCTGGAGAGGATCATCAGACTGTGATCAGTTACTTATCCAGAGGAATACATATTCCCAAAATTAGCTTAAATAAAGATGCAGAATTTTAACATTTTTAGCAAGCACTGAAAAAGAAACATATTGAAGCACTTTCATGTTACAATCATATGTAGAGAAGGAAATTTTGGCAGTTTGAAGATGGCCTCAAACATTAAATTGTTTTGAGAAACACATTATTTACATATGTTGAATAGAATTATTAGATACTTCAGATGGTTAAAGTCACACATAATAGCTTACAGCTGGAATTTACATGTTTTTTAACTCCATCTCCTCTTATTGCCATGTTGTTTTGGTGTCTGCTGTGTTGCACTTAGACCTGCATTCAGTCCTGGTCTGTAATTCTGATAGTGAAAGTGTTTCAATGGATGAATGTGAAATGCACACTTCCAGGCTTCTGTCCATTGATGAGGACTTCTTGTATGCTTGTTCTTAACTTAGGGTTAACTAGATTAGAGCTTATTAATCTGATTGTATTCACCTGTTCTGAAGCTGAAAACTGTACATAGTGCAGAGAGAAGAGTAAGACCACTCAGAGTTATGAGTTTCTACTCAGGGAAGGAAGGCTCAGGTCATTAACAGGACGCTGGAGAACTTAACTGCATAATGAGGAGATAATTCACTCATTTGATTCGGGTGTCTAAGAAGTGCAGGACACCAAATCTCCAGGACTAGAATTAAAGACCCGTAGTATAGACCAGTAATGAGGGTTTATGAATGTGTGACAAAGGAACATACTGAAGATATACAAACCAGGAGTTTAAAACAAATACATTTAAGGGCATAACTGAGAAGAAATCTTTCTCTCTATACAAGAAAAAACATTGTGAAAAAGCCAGAAAGTAGAGTTTAATATCAAAGTACCCAACTCTAATAGCATGTTGTTAGTTTTCATTGGGTTTGTAGACTGACCTGGCCAGCTGCAGGATGTCAAGAAGCAGCTCTTTGTGTTTCTGGTCTTCCCCTAGTCGGCCCGTATACAGCCGGAAGGACGGCTGCTTAAAGAAGGGGAGAACTTTGGCCAAAGCTCGAAGTTCTATCAGATACAGGAAGTAGAGGTTGCGGAGCCTCTTGGGGCCCTCACCAGCGGTCAGATCAGAGTCGAAGCGCTGCCTGAACTCTGACACATTGTGTCCCCACTTACTCTCATACCAGCTGTCTGAAAGGAAAAAGGATCAGAGGGCAACTTAAAAACATCCCAAACATAAAAGTCTAATCCCACACTCAAAGTGCCTCACCATTCAGGAGGTAGCGGGCACTCAGATGCACACTGATGCTGGCGTGCAGACCAGAGATGAGACGGTAAAAAGCTCTCTTCTCCACACACTGCCCTGAGAAAGGAAACAAACAACGAAACATGAAAAATGGAAAACATCATAAATGTCTGCAGATCAACCGCTAATTTACCTTCCAGCCAGCTGTAGAAGGTTCTAGCTGTGAACAAGATCAGATTGTTAGAGATGCATCCCTGCAGAATAAGATGGCTGGATGGAGCATTAAGCACAGCCTACCTTCAATTCCTGAACTGCTCTGAAAGGAGCTGGGATTTAGCGGCCGCTTAATGGTAAAAGGTCTGTGTCAAGGACATAAAGAGAATGATGTAAAATCATATCCATTTAATCCCACTCTGCTTGATTTTTTAGCAGAAAAAACAAACAGCATTTTTTTTCCTGCTGCACACAGTTAAAATCCCCAAATGTAGATTTTACCACAGGACATCTTTGAAATGGAAGGCTTAATTTAACAGAATTAAACCTCATCACAATATATCCTATGAGGCATCAGAATTAAATGAGCGTTCAAAAAAAATAAACATGAGGTGCACAAAACAGGTCGAAATGGAGAAGTAACTGGTGAAACTCATAATAACCACCTTCTGCAGCAATAATAATGCATCTCCCCTCCAATTTCTAGCAGTCTATAATCGCCATGGCGATATTCTGGTCAACTCCTCTTCGCATCATTGCTTCTGGTCTGGACTTTGAATGCATCCTTCGATCACTGGGACCTTTGTTCTGCACGATCCAGTTTGGAATACTCTAAAGCAGTTGGACAAACGGCCTTACATTTGACTCTAGTCTACAAAGGAGTTAATGGTTGATTTAATGACAAATGTTCAGATTATCATACCTCCACTACCATGCTTTAAAATTCAGCCACGCATTTTCTGTTTTGGTTTCTGCGCACATTAAATTGTGTTTTATCACCAAGCATTTTTACTTTGGTAAAACAGATCCAATAAACATTATACTGGAATCTAAAACCACTTGTACGGACATATAGTTTTTTTACTCCTAGCCTTCAGATACAAGCAACACTTGTAATTATTTGAATAACAGTCATATAACAAGCGTTAACATTTGACATGCTAAAGGCTTAGATGGAGCTCTTAGATTATTGCTCTAAGCACTACACTGACCGATATTGACATTCTGCAACTATTCGAAATGTTTTGCACTCGTGAATAATCAATCACACTATAGAGCTGATAGATCCAAAAAGGGTTTTCTACTGTTTAGAACTTGCTGGAGCTTATCTTATGCTGTATATTGACCTTCAATTTCAGGTCAAGACCAAATATTGATAATAATAAAAAACAGTTAATCACATCAAACATAAAAGCAAAGTATGTATGAAGGTGTGTGATCTGTGTTGAGGCTTACTTAAAGCAGTTCTCCTCATAGATGCTAGTCCAGATCTGCCACGCCTCCGGGCCATTGTAGCCCGTGTAGCGCTCCGGGTTCAGCAGCAGATCCACATACTGGGAGTCCGGTGACTCCTCATCTGCAAACAGCAACACGTTAGCCACAATAGGTAATGCATGTGTCTGGGCATTTTAGCAACATTTTTACAGAAATAAGGGGAGTCACATAAGCAAATTTTTACATTTGTTTGAACGATGTAATGTGATATACTTTAAAATAAAAACAAAACTGTTATTTTATTTATATAGAAGGTTTTACAGATTGATTTATACCATCAATCACGCAGAACCGCTCTGCCTCATCATCATGTTTCCTCCAATCCAATAAAGCCTCTTGGGTCTCCTCACTAAAAGCAAAGGCACAGGTTTAGCTCCACACAGCAGCATCAAACCAGACAAAGGTACCATATGTTGCTGACAGAGGTTGTTAAAAAAACAGCTTTTAACAAAAGACAGATTTCTATCGCTATTTTATTCAATACATGTCAAGAACAACAACATAATAAGCCTATATTGAGAGGTTCACCTTAGAGAGACATCTACAGCTCCAAGATGTTTCTCCTTCTCACATTCATCCAGCTGCTCCTTTTTTGCCTCTGCAGAATACTGAAAACACATGGAAAATGACGTATAGAAAGGGGGGGGGAAAGAACATATATGATTTTTTATGATCATATAAAAAAGCAAATAACTTCAAAAACAACTGAAAATCTGAAGCGAAGCATTGTTGTCAGTAAGTTTGCAGAAGCCAGCTGTGTTCTGGACGGACTCACCTTGCTGTGCGGAGACGATCGGAGTCCCTCAGGAACCTCGTTCTAGGAGCAGATACAGATTTAATTAGCTTCAATTATTTTCCCCCCTTCTAACCTTTCTATGGGGTTTGGGTCTGTGGGTCTATAATCTATAATATAGAACTGATACTTTTTTCAAACTCAGACCCATTGGATCATGGTTTGTTTCTTTCATGTTTCTGTCTGTTGTGTGTTCGAGACGCTTGTCTTTCTGCTCTACCGTTTCTGGACAAAGTTGATGCAAAAATAGATCACTGACATTAGTTTGCTTTTAGATCCCACTCATTCAGAGCTCCCTTTAACATGAAAGGAGCGACCGACAGTTCAGATGTTTGAAATACTTAAATAAAATTACGTATCATTCAAAATCCAGTTTTGAATCATTCTGATATAAAATGACTCCAACATCTGTACGAAAAGGCAAAACATGAAATACTGCATATCATTTAGAGATCTCAGTTGAGAGGGATGAGATGGAAACTTACAGGGGAGCAGGGCTTCACAGCACAGTTTCTCAGACCACAGTGACTGTCAGCCGCCCAGAAAGGACACGGCTTGTTCAGGTTCACCTGTAAGACAAATCACCAGGAACTCTAAGATGAAGATTGATTAATCCAAGCATCTGTGTGTGACACGACTGTTTGCATTACTTTGTAGAACCTGAAGTAGTCAGACTCCAGAAGAGTTTGAAGTTTGGGAAAAAGCTGCTCGTTGTTGAAACTGTCGATGGACTCTACGTCGCAGGCACAGTCATCCAGTTCACCTGTGACCTGAGAAAGAGGAGGGGAGCTTGATTACTGAATGATCTGTAGACTTGCAGTAAAGTGAGGTTTAATTATACCATCCTTCGCTGATGAATGTAGAGGAAAACTATTCTGAATTGTTTCACTTTTGTTACTAGTGGCCCAGGCACCAAACCCTGAGGTTCTCCAGAAACAGGTCTAATTTGAGAAGTAGATTTGGATAAAAAATGAAGCCAGCACAATGCTGTTCTGTTTCCATCATGTACTTCAATCTCTGTATAAAAATAATGTAAAGTTTTTATCAGGGGCTGCACAGTGGAAGTGGGTGGCATTGCTGCATTGCAGCAAGAAGGGTTTGATTCCCAGCCCGGGGTCCATCTGCATGGAGTTTGCATGTTCTCTCTGAGCATGCGTTGGTTCTTGCCGGGTATTCTGGCTTCCTCCCACAGTCCAAAAACATGACTGTTAGGTTAATTGGCTTCTCTAAATTCTCCTTATCTGTGAGTGTGTGCCTGAATGGTTGTTTGTCCCTTTTGTCTCTGTGGTGCCCTGCAATGGACTGATGACTTGTCTAAGGTCGACCCTGACTCACGGCTATCGGCCATAGACAGCTGGAGATAGGCAATTTCAATTCAATTCAGTTTATTCATATAGCAACAATTCACAACACGTCATCTGAAGGCACTTTACAGTTCAACAGATCATACAGTCAAATTTATTCAAAGTTTTATATCTAAGTAAAACCAGTTGATTGCATCGACTCATTGACTCAAATGCAATCCCTTACCCTAAGCATGCTTGTAGCGACAGTGGAGAGGAAAAACTCCCTTTTAACAGGAAGAAACCTCCAGCAGAACCAGGCTCAGTGTGAGCGCCCATCTGCTGAGGCCGGCTGGGGTTCAAGGAGACAGAAGCAGAGATACAAAAAGCAGCTGTAAAAAGCGGCCCGTCCAGGAAACACACAGCCAGGGAGACGAGCTCTGAGCCACCTTCCATATCAGAGGATGAAGAGAGCACATCCAGCCAGTCACAGTCAGAGAAACAGGACTACACTGGAAAAACAGCCTGATCTCCAACATCTATAAACAGAGGTGTAAGGCAAAGACACCAGCAACCTTCGTGACCCCAGCATGGATAAGCCTGACAGAAAATGGATGATTGTATCAGAAAGTAGCACTATACAGTGCAAACACAAAGGACATTCATTAATTAATTAATTTAATTAATAATTACCCAAAAGGACACAAGGAAATCAGTAACACTTAGCTTTAAATGACTGAAACTGCTCAGACAAGATATGTATAATAAATATTCAGGGTATTATCTTCATTTAACTTTCAAGTTTGTTTGGTTATTTTTTAAGCTTAATTTCATTTCCGCCGCTTTGACGTTTAATTTAGACAGCTATCTACAGCTCTCCGCTCCGTGCTTTCTATTTACAGCTTTTCATAAAGTTTTTACGCACAGTTGGCCAAAGAGATTCATCAACAACGGTCGGAGGATGAAAGCATCTTCCCATACCTGTTAAAAACAGGATCAACACTGAAGCATAGGTCTCTTACCTGACAGAAACACCTGCTGTGCGCAGATCCCAAAACCTGGAGGAAGAGGAGGAGGAGGAAGACCACCCGCCCCATCACGACTTCTCTCACTTTATTATTAGAGCAGTTAAATTAAAGCCTCCTCTCGGTTCGTGTGTTTTGTTGGAAATGAGGAAAACGCTTGAGTTGTTCAGCAGCAGCAGCTGTGGGGAGGCGATGATCTCACGCGCTGTCATTTCCTCATATTTCCTCATTTCCAATCCGCTACGTGCTCTACGTGACGGCAGGCTGCCGGGCTCATAAACTCCCACGTGTTTTATTCTGCGACTGTTCAGAAAAATAACATTTGTTGCTCTATCCGCAGTCTGCCTGCCTCAAACAAGACATATTTTGTGATTTAAAGCGTCTTGGCAATTTGAGTTAATCTCCATAATGTAGTACCTCAAATCAACCACAACGGGGCGGTGGAGCATTCATGTAGGCCTAACGTCCTTAGTTTTATTTATTTAATTTATTTTATTATATATATTTTTTTATATACACTGTAAACAGGGGCGGAGCTAGATGGGGCGCCAGCGGCCACCCTTAGAAAATCATTGGCCACCCCTACCCTTTATTTCTCTCTAATATAGATGGTGGCAACAGTAATATCTCAAGTGGAATAATCAAAACTTTTTAATTTTCCATATATTAACAGTTATTTGACAACAAAAACAGTGTGGTTAACACACATGTTCGCACATCTATATAATAACATTAAAGATAATAAGTACAGAATAAAAAGCAGAAATAGATTTAGTGTTTTATGGGGTAAAGAGAAAATGATGCGTCCCTGCATGTCATCTAGGAGTCTTAACTTACTAAATTATTTTTTTTTTGTAGATATTAGTACCTGTAAATATCAATTATATGCAGAATGATTACTGATAAAAGTAAGCAAGTAATGACAATGGAAAAGATGCCGCAGAACTCAAACCTGAAAGTATTTTATCCACTATACCTTTTTTTCTAGAAAGCACGTATGTTTGAATATATTCACCTATTTGTTAGCAAAGCCTGTGAGAAAGCATAGTTTGTCTTTATTTAGAAAATATGGATGTTTTGTTTGTTAATTTTCCTGTTGGAACAGTGTAGATTGACCCTGAGGTTCCATCTACTTTCGGCCACCCCTCAGTGTAAATTTGCTATTGCCTGGCCACCCTTATAAAATTTTCTGGCTACGCCTCTGACTGTAAACCTAGATAAAATCCAGTAAAATTGGAGAAAATCTAAAAAACAAACTACTCTTTATCTATTAATTTATTTGAAGGTGGCAATGCAGCCCAAGTTATAGAATAACTCTTGCAGCTGATGCAATGCACTAGTAATGGTGAGATAAGGCCTCATGAGACATTGACAGTTCATGAACACTCATGTGAACATGTCACCACCTACTGGTGTAGTTCAGAACTACAGTTTCTAATATAATTTGTGATTTTTTTTGCAATTGTTATGATTGGTGTATAATGAATATTTTGTAATTAGTTTTTGAAGTGTAAAATGTCTTGGAAGAGATTAATCAGTTAAGGTGCACTTTTTTTCTAAAATTTTAGGAAAATAAACTCAAGCACACAGTGAAACAGTTTGTGAAAATTGGGCAATGATGAGAACAATGAAAGGTGTTAGTCATTTTTATTCAAACATAATAGTTTTTCTACAGTTTTTAGTTTAAATTGGGTTGGAAGTTATGTGTTCAACCAATCTTTTGGCAAAACTGACATGTCTAATTTGGTAGTGTTTTTATCCTATATATACTTTTACTAGGGCAGACCAATACAAATTAGTCTCATCAGCCACAATACTTAAGTATAATCACAACTTTCAGAGGTGAACAGTGGGTCTTTAACCATCAACCTCAGGAATTGTGGACGGTGTTTTACAGATGACGCCACTAACATTGATTTTAACACAGATTTTGATGAGTACATTGTTTAATCTAACCAAAATAGTTTTAACCAACTAGATTGGTTGTTTTTCTAACAAATCTATTCTTAGAATCTATCCAAACTCTATCCAACTGACGGCGACTCTCCTACAAACTCCCACATCTTGACTGGGTAGTGAGGCTTTTCAAAGCCTGTCGAAGTTGTTGTACTTTCTTATATGTTAGACAATATTTTCAATGACCAGCCTTTAAAGTGTGGAGGGGTAAATACGATCAAGTAAAATGATACGACTGGCATAAAATCAAATACAAACAGCATGAAAATAAAACTTACCATTATGTTGAATTAGTGGGAGCCCTGAGCTTGTTTCTCTGAAACTTCTCTGTAGCTTTGTTTTGGTCGCTGTAACCACAAAAAATCCCGCTTCACAAAGATAGTATGTTATAGATAGGATGCGTCTTGACCTAAATTAACCTGTGTCAAGAGGCACAGATGCACTGACTGATGTAATCGGGAGAGAATACCCCAATTTTTTATATTTTTCAAAATAAAACATCTCTCAGACTCTGATGGTCGAAAAATTATATATATATATATATATATATATACTTTTTCTGTGCAACCCGGTACCATATGACCGACGGACCGGTACCGGTCCGCGGCCCGGGGGTTGGGGACCGCTGCGTTAGATCATCACATGACTGTAGTCAGACCAGCTATACATGTTGATAAAAAGAGTGTTGCTCAATAAATTGGGGAAATATAAAGTACATGTTTCTCTTAACATTGAACCAAACGGGTTAAAGGTACGATAAAATAAAAATTAAAAAATAATTAATGGCAATAAAAAATTGTCCTTCATAAAAATTAACATACTTACAACAATAATTAAGAAAATAATAGTTGAAACAATTTTACAATGAACAATATTATATAAAATTATCTAAACTAAACCAAATAAATAAGATATAGTTTTAAAAAAATATATAATATAAAATATAAATACTATTTTATGTATGTATTTCCTCACTGAAATATTAACTCTTGTTAAACTTTGTACACATTTCTCCAGTCATATGTGGTGTTAATAGTAGGGAATTAAAAGCAAATGACTACAATAGTTGGAAAAAAATTTAAACTGGATTGATAAATAATACTTCCACTTAAATCCTCATGAAAAGACCAAAAAAAACTACATGGTTTAAAGATGCAGATCTTTAATGAGGTGCAACAGCGCCATTAAGTGTCTGAATGTAAACCAAGCAGCTACAGGAATATGGAGCAAATAACAGTCTTATTCGATAGATAGATAGATAGATAGATAGATAGATAGATAGATAGATAGATAGATAGATAGATAGATAGATAGATAGATAGATAGATAGATAGATAGATAGATAGATAGATAGATAGATAGATAGATAGATAGATAGATAGATAGATAGATAGATAGATAGATAGATAGATAGATAGATAGATAGATAGATAGATAGATAGATAGATAGATAGATAGATAGATAGATAGATAGATAGATAGATAGATAGATAGATAGATAGATAGATAGATAGATAGATAGATAGATAGATAGATAGATAGATAGATAGATAGATAGATAGATAGATAGATAGATAGATAGATAGATAGATAGATAGATAGATAGATAGATAGATAGATAGATAGATAGATAGATAGATAGATAGATAGATAGATAGATAGATAGATAGATAGATAGATAGATAGATAGATAGATAGATAGATAGATAGATAGATAGATAGATAGATAGATAGATAGATAGATAGATAGATAGATAGATAGATAGATAGATAGATAGATAGATAGATAGATAGATAGATAGATAGATAGATAGATAGATAGATAGATAGATAGATAGATAGATAGATAGATAGATAGATAGATAGATAGATAGATAGATAGATAGATAGATAGATAGATAGATAGATAGATAGATAGATAGATAGATAGATAGATAGATAGATAGATAGATAGATAGATAGATAGATAGGATCTTTAAGAAGACATGAATACCAATGTCTCCACAGCTTAGACTGATATCGGATTGCACTACGTGTGGTATCAGTAAGTGACAAAATAATATCGTTTTCAGATGCATTTAACCTACAATAAACTTATACATTAACTTTCGTAAAACAGCTTGTAGGGTATTGACTCTTGCTGTGAAAAACATCTCACTTGCGCTGGACCATCTTGGACATTTCAAAAGTACCCGCATAGCATCATTATAGGCCACCTAAAGCCTTTGCAGGTTGACTTTTCTATATGTAGTCCACAGGTGAGCAGTGTACAGAGAGGTACAATATGCATTAAACAGTTCCACTTTGACTTCATCAGCACATGAACCGAATTTGCGAGCAAGGGTATTAGCTTGAGCATACAACAATCTACATTGTCTACAAATATCATCATCGTCTGACAGATTTTCTGTGATAATGTGCCCAAGATACTTGGTTTTGTTTGTAACACCCAGTATTTCACAGCAGAAAATCTGGAAACTCAGTAGATTTATCTTCCTTACTCCTACAGATCATGATCACACTTTTAGATGGATTGTACTTTATGTCGCGTTCCAGACCATACTCAGAGCAGATGTTAAGTAGTTGCTGTAACCCAGCAGTACCAGGGCTAAATATTACTAAATCGTCTGCATACATCAGGTGATTAAGTACCGAGTCACCAGCCACACAACCAGTGTGACAAGCTCTCAACTTGTGTGACAGTTCATCCAGATACAAGTTAAAGAGAACTGGGGACAAAATCCCGCCCTGCCTCACCCCATTACTAACTTTGAATGGAGCCGAGACACATTCCCCCCATTTAATCTGCAGTGTTTGCTGGGTATACCAGTACTTCAAAATACGAACAATATGCTCTGGTACTCCTTTTTGTGTCAGTTTTGTGAAAAGTTTTCTGTGGTTTACCCTATCAAATACTTTTGATGCATCTAGGAAACACATAAACACTGAAGAGTTCTGCTTATTATATTTATAAGTAATTTCTTTTAGAGCATATATACAAATATCTGTTCCCAGCCTAGCCTTAAAACCAAACTGGTTATCTGTAGAATTGATAACCTCTAAGATCCTGTCCAGCAGGATTGATTCAATAATTTTTGAAACTATGCTGGCCAGCGCTATCGGACGGTAATTATCAGAATTACTGTCCTATTTAGCAGGTATTTAACATTCTCTTAATATTGCCACAATTGTAATGGAATTTTTTTTTTTATCAGTTCAATGTTATTTTCTAATCTTTGATACATAATAAATTTTCAATAATGAATAATAACAGAAATAAAGGTTTAAATTTAAA